CACGAGTCCGAGTTTCCCTAAACTTTTAGTTTAACATTCTGAGTTATCATCGATCGTGACAAAAAAAAGTGTGAAAATGGTAAATCCAGAGGTGTTCCGATCACAGGTAAACCCTGTGAAGGATTCCTTTAACTAAAAATAGATTCGGTGTCAGTGGTTTGTACGTCACTTCTTCTTCTAGGCTAGTGGAGGATCTATGCTTTAGTTGGGGATTTAAAAAAAAATAGAAAAAATGAAGATAACGTTAATGGGGCTCTTGACAAGAATTCCTATAGTCTACATAATTAAAGATGGCTGGAAAATGATATCGCATATATCATATATATACATATATACTAGATGAAATCCCGCGCAAGCGCGGGGAATTGAATTTATACCACTACCAACAGAAAATATATTGTAGTTCTCTACTGACAGCTTACAGGCTTATAGCAGGAACAAATACTTTGTTCAAATCCTGCATGAAGAAGATTTACCTATCCACCCGCACCCACCCCACCCCCACCCCCCGTTTTTTGTGTTTGTTTTGTTTAATTTTTTTTTTAACTTGAAAAATAGCAATTTCATTAATTGACGTTTATTGTGAAACCTGTTATACTATGTTATGGATATTGTACTTCTGATGCTCTTAATTATTTTATTTCCGTCAAGGATAAAAGCAACGAATATGCACATTTTACTAATAAATTGATTGGGGGGGGGGGGGTAAAAATTCACAGGTACTTGGGTCTTGGTTTGTAAATATGTTTGTACCTTATTGATATGTAAAAATGTACTTTACTTTTTTACCTACATGTACATACATATTTATAAACCAAGAACCAAGTATCTGTGTAAAAATTAGCTTTTAGCTCCCTATGAATAGGCTGAGTATTTGATACAAAAGACTATGCTGCAATAATGTAGCCCTCTCCGATTTTTTTTTTTTGTTTTTTTGTTTTGTTTTTGATCAGATATTTTCTGGCTTTTCTCTCTGCCCCCCCCCCCCCTCAAAAAAGGAGAGGGCTACATTATTGCAGCTATAAAAGAGACTGTATTCAGAAATTAACTGTGCATTGATTAATGCGCAAAATCTTACATCTTTAATTGTATTTGAACAATACCTTATTCATTAATTTTCTCTTTTCATGTAAGCAAGTTTATTACGAAGTACAAATTGTACTTCGGGTTCGTTGCCACGATGCTCTCAGTAAGGAATATGTACAAATTTTACTGATAAATGTATTAGGAAAACCTACTACATACATATATGTAATAGTCTTTCGATATATAATTATATTCACAACTTATAGTGTTATCAGTGATTTACCATTATTTCAATTATGACCATTTACACAAAAGCTTTTTTTATGGTCATGTAGCTATAATCGCCTCGTTTTTTTCTTAACATCGGGCTCGATGCTATATGATGTTCTAGAAGCTTCCGTCAATATAAAGATCGGTGAATGACGAAAATATTTTGCACATTTCCCTTTTTAATCGGTTATCACAACTTATTTCTTTTATATAATTTAAATCAAGTTTTGATTGAATAATTCAATGATGACGTTTTCTGTAATAAATAAACGATTGCTTGTTGTCAGTTTCATTAAAAATTGCCAGTAACTTAGATCCGCCAACCGGAAACGCCACCATACTCACGTTTTAGCTATTTCATGGCTGTTTATAGAAAATGAAAGTAGACTTTTAATTTAATGTACGATATTTACTATGCGAGTGAAATCTAAATATAGTTTACGGACATCAGCTTGTACCTAGCGTATTGTTAGAGGAGTAAGTAAGAACTCTGGTGCACCCATTTCGGAGTTTATTTGCAAAATTTATTAATTTATAAGTATAGATATATATATATATATATATATATATATATATATATATATACTCGTATGATTATATTAAGACCAAAAAAAAGTCAGAACTTACTATAGCAACGCTTCCCATCGACGCTCTTTAAAAACTTCATATCTGGTGTCCCCATTACACGTTGGTCACATCGTAAAACCAAGATTTCACGGAGGGGTTCATCGTTTCCGACTATCCGAATGCATGATTCAAAAACCTGCCGGCAATCGGCAACACCGTCTGAATTAAGACAAATTCCGCATCTTAGGACGGCCGCATTTGCAATTTGCATAAATGTGACAGAAAGAATTAGGCACTGCATTAGTGTCCCCATCTCCATCTTTTTCCACATCCTTACATACAAATATGTCTACCTCAACTAAATTGTCTCGCGCGCAAACCGTGTCACATGACCACCCGTAATGCGCAAGGATGTGATGGAATGAATCTACGTTAATTCACCCAGACTCTACAAACATTTAATTAGCACCTTTTTTTTCTTCTTCTTTAATTGTTTATTTTATTTTCATTTTTTTTTAATTTTAAAACAATCTCTCTCTCTCTCTCTCTCTCTCTCTCTCTCTCTCTCTGTGCGTGTTAATATTGTACAACGCAAACCAGCATAGATTCAAAATGATGATGATAGATAGGATTGAATATCAACATAAGGGCTTCATAGCTCTTAACGAAAGATACACGAATATGATAATGCAATACATTGTTCTCTTCAGATGGCAATTTATTTCAGGTTTAGTTAAACTCTTCCAGATACACGTACATATGGATGCGCAAGATCATAATGTCCAATTGTAGGTCATTGATAACCGATCGACACCGAAAGGTTTCTAGTATAATTTAAAGGTCAAATCAGGTTATGTGAATGGACTGACATTCCTAGACAACAAACACCCGTAGTAGTTCAGTAACCTACTCACGAAACATTCTATGGGCTAATCTTCATGTAAATGACCTCTCGATAGTGTGAATATCATAATGACCATGATGTCTGTTTGATTATTTTTTTTTCAATTTATTTATTTTAATTTTTTTTTTTTTTTGGTTTGTTTCTAGATTATTGTATAACTTCAATTGAAAAAAAAATCATATCCGGAATAATTGTGTGGTCATATATGTATTATAATGTAATATATTGTTTTGAAAGGAGTGTTTAAAATCACAGACAGAAATGATCATCGTGACCTAGATAAATTGATCGGTCAGTGTATCTGACCCAAAAAGTGTAAAAATTATAACACTTGACACCTAGACACAAATACTAGGACTTATCCCCCACTCCCCAATTTCGTTCAAGACCCAGAAGTTGTCACTAAAGGACAACGTACCAGACTTCGGAAATGCTTTACTACACAACTATATACTAATACAAAACACAAAATACAAACAGATTCAGACTGGTCATTGTTTAATACTATGTGAATACATTCACCTACTGTTCAGCTTATTACATGTATATATATATTTACGTTCTACCAGAAAAAATATTCAACCCATTTTAGATAAGTAAGATATTCTGATAAGTTACGAGTACCCATCTTATCGTGTATAATTTTTACTGTATAATATTTTTTTTTTTAATTTTAAGTACCGGTATAGAATAAAAAATAAGTAAAATAAATGAATAAATAAAAAAAAAACGGCGCGTTTCAAATATACTAGAATCTTCTATGAGTATTTCATCATCATAACCATGTTATCACATTTCGTTCCGGAAATACTTTAAGCGCAAGTGTAGAGTATGGTCGCGGAATTTTTAAAAGGGCAATAGCCCCACTGATAAATGTTCACACCCAAGCCTTTTTCGAACTCCCACATCTTTTTTAAACATATCTGTTAGGCTACCTTCGGGTATAAAAAGGGGGATACATTTAGCATAACTTGTTGTTGAGCTTAAACCCGTGCGCCGAGACACAATTACTTTGGGATACCCCGTTCGCCTTATATTCTGAAGATTGCAAGTATGGCTAAAGAATTCTTCAATAATCAGTAAGTCATTATTTAAAAAATTCACATTTCATATTTGCTATATTTAAAATAATACTAAAGATAAACCAATTACCCTTGGGGGAAAATTACATTTTTTAAGCATTTTTTCGTTCAGATGTATTTTTTTTTTATTTCGTTGTTTTTGTTTTTTTGTTTTTTTTTTTGTTTCGTTTGATTTAGCCTGAACAAATTGTTGTAGTTTACAAAAAAAAGTAACTATTTAACTTATTGGGGATGTTAATGACATGAAGTTAAGAAAAAAAAAACATCTTGAGAATAATTTACTTTTATGAACATATTACTTATGAAAATATGTAGAGTATATATATGTTACATAATTGTTCTGGTCAATTATCTTTTCATTAATTTTTCAAAACTTGAAATGTTTTGTGCAACAATCTTGAAAGAGCTATAAATCTAATTAAAAGCTTCTTTTTCTTTGTTTCATATATATTAAACATTCTGAAATTATAGTTTTCATTTAAAGGTGTACGCATGTTTTGCAATATTTCTTTCATGAATAATGTTAAAAAAAGAAAAAAAAAACCTCTTTTGTTTTGTTTCGATGAAGATTTTTCCCACTAAAATACCCCATTTTAAAAATAATGGTTCAATTATTTTCAAGTTATGTCATGCTCTTGTAAATTTTGCAGTGCACAGTGTTTGAATGTGTAAATTTTCGAGTTATCTTTCTGTGACTGTTATATAAAATTCTTTCTTTTTTAGGGAATCTAACACATGTACCTCTTCCCCCTCGACATCTTTTCGGGATTTTGAGGAAGAATGGAGTAAAATTGCAGAAGAATCATTTGATTCGGTCTTTGAGTCAGGGTAAACTAATTTTTGATTTTCTTACAGTTTTATAAAAAAAAAAATAAATGTTAAATTAAAATATTTATGTGAAAAATTGTTATGTTATATTAAAATATTTATGCGAAAAAAACTTGATAAACACAGCAATTCTCCTGATGACCCCCACATAGAAAAAGAGGTTCCAACTGGTTTGAAAAGAAAACTCAGCGAGACTGAAGACTCGCTTATTCTGACAAAGAGGTAGATTTTTTTTTAATATTATATGTCAGTTATAATGTGCAAATTTTTGATAACCCGCATCTTTCTGTCTCCTTCATAATGTTATTATTTTCCCCAGGAAAATGAGCAAAGCTATCCCATTCCAGCAACAAGCTGACGAAGAGGATGAAATATTGAAGAAATTTAGGTGAGAAATCTTAAAACTGATATGTTCACTTTTTATGCATGTTTAACAAATACCTAAATGAAGATTTGAAATGCTGATATATTTTTTAGATAGTTAAGAATTACACTTGTGCATCAGCATAGGTTACTTTTCGTACACTTTGAAAAATGATCACGGGTACCGAATACAAAAACAATATCAAAAATATCTTCTGTTTTTTACGTGTTTTCACATTATTTTTTTCTGTGTGTTTGTTCATTACAGGAAAGACAACTTTACTAAATATGAAGCACTAGAACGTAGAACATTGGGAAATAGCCCCACTTCGCCGATAAGCATTACATCAAGCCCTGCATCGACTTCCAACTCCGCATCACCAATCAACATATCGACATGTTCTTTTCAATTTCCACCTACACCACTGGAATTTAATTCGGTCTTCAACCTTCCGGCTCCTGACCATATTTTAAAACCCAATACAAATACAACAGTACCACCAGCAGCAGTTCTACCTGGAACCTCTACTTCCAATCAAACCTTAGGGGAGTATCCCTTGAAGGGAGAACTGAACGCCCTTCGTGAGCTCACTGATTCCGTTCGCAAGGATTTGATACAGACTTCCATGCTTGCGAATCATATCCATGATTATTTGAAATGTTTGAACCTTCCGGCACCTGGCTATACCGCAACACCTAATACAAATACAACAGTACCACCACCAGCAGTCCTACCTGGAACCTCTACTTCCAATCAAACCTTAGGGAAGTATCCTCTGAAGGGAGAACTGAACGCCCTTTGTGAGCTCACCGATTCCGTTCGCGTGGACTTATTACAGACTTCCATACTGGTGCATTATATTCAGGATTGTTTGAAATGTTCGAAAATATTTTCAAATGTTTAAAAAGTGAAGCTACTTTCGAGTAAACGATTTAGAAATCTATGTAATGTTGGTTTGTTGTAGAGTCTTAATGATTTTTTTTGTTCTTTTATTGGGATATATGTAATGAACATTAAAGTATTATCAATCACATTAATAAAATGAGTAATGAAAAATGAAATGGAAGTGTATTTCTTGAAAAATGTAAAAAAAAAAACAAAACAAAACAAAAAAAAGGGGAATCATTTGGTAACATGAATTAATGGAGTAAAAGGAATGAAGCAAAGTACACTTACCAATACAGATAACAGGTACACATCTTGATCAATCAGAGTGTGTTCTCTTTGCAGAATTAAACTTTAAATGAAACGTGGATTTTATATAACATTCAGGATTAGGGTGTGTCTGAGACAATCCCACAGAGGAAAATCCAGTGATATAGATCTTGGAAACAAATGGGTGACCCCAGATGGCTTTATGGGATGGGTGACCCCAGACAGCTTTATGGGATGGGTGACCCCGGACAGCTTTATGGGATGGGTGACCCCAGACGGCTTTATGAGATGGGTGACCCCAGACGGCTTTATAGGTTGGGTGACCCCAGACGGTTTTATGGGATGGGCTGTGACGTCATTATGACGTCATTGACCCCAAAGAGAACCCAGACTACTACCCTTACTACTCCAGAGCCAGTAAACAAGACGCAAGTTCGGTCCTTCCTTGGCCTCTGTAGTTATTACAGGAAATTCATTGCAAACTTTGCTGATATAGCTCGACCGCTTCATAAACTGACAGAAGCATCAGTTGTCTTCAAATGGTCAGAAGAATGTCAAATAGCATTTGATGTTCTAAAAACTAAGATAACCACTGCACCAATCCTTACTCATCCAGATTTCGGTAAACCATTTATCTTGGATACCGATGCAAGTCAAAATGTGATCGGCGCAGCCTTGTCTCAGATCCAGAATGGACAGGAAAGGGTAGTCGCCTATGCCAGCAAAGTTCTTAGTAAGTCTGAGAGAAGGTACTGTGTGACCAGGAAGGAGCTCCTAGCAGTAGTGACATTTATAAATCACTTTAGACATTTCTTGTATGGGCGTAAATTTGTGGTTAGAACAGATCAATGTTCCCTTCGATGGTTGCTAAGGTTTAAGAATCCAGAGGGCCAGTTAGCTCGATGGCTAGAGGTGATATCGGCGTATGATATAGAAATAGAGCATAGAGCTGGTAGGCTGCATGGAAATGCTGACGAGCTAAGTAGACTCCCATGCGTCCAGTGTGGATATTTTGATGATTGGGAGAAAGTAGTTTTGCATGAGGAACATGCAAGGGTATTACAGGATGAGGTCAAAGACACCGAGACAGATGAATCAAAGGACTTGGTAGAGATACAGGACAGAAGTCGGGATATAAGACTCGTTAAGAATTGGATAGAGGAAGGGAAGCATCCAGAGTACAGTGAAATTACTGCTGAAAGTTATATGGTAAAATCACTGTGGGCTCAGTGGAGTAGATTGGCCTTGAAGGATAACTTGCTGTGTCGTATGTGGGAGCTTGGGGAAAGCAACAACACGACATATCAGATTGTTATGCCACTGTCACAGAGAAGATTTATCTTACGGCAGATGCATGACTCCAAGACATCTGGTCATCTAGGGGTGACCAAAACCCTGAACAAGATCAGAGACAAAATTACTACTGACCAGGGCTGCAAAGCGATGTCAGAAGTTATGTTGCTGGATGTGACATATGTGCCCGGAGGAAGGCTCCACTTAAAACAAAGAGAGGACCTATGCAGCCGTTTCAAGTGGGTTACCCAATGGAGAGGATAGCAACCGATATCCTTGGGGAATTTCCGGTCACAGATAAAGGGAATCGCTACATCCTGGTGGTTTCGGATTACTTTAGCAAATGGACAGAAGCCTTTCCGATGCCCAACATGGAGGCTCAGACAGTTGCGAGACGGATCGTGGAAGAGGTAATCTCTAGGTTTGGAGTTCCTGTGTCCATTCACTCTGACCAAGGCCATCAGTATGAAAGTCTTTTGTTTAATGAAGTATGCAAGCATTTACAGAACCACACCACACCATCCTCAGTCTGATGGTATGGTGGAACGGTTCAATAAGACGTTAGACACCATGTTGAGTAGTTATGTTAACGAGAACCATCGGGATTGGGATGAGAACATACCCTTTGTAATGATGGCATATAGGGCATCACAGCATGAATCAACTGGATACACCCCAAACATGTTGATGCTTGATAGAGAAACCGCTACCCCTCTGAACATCATATATAATATGCCTGCATCCTGGAAACAGGTACCGAAACATGATTGGGTTTGGATACTTACTGATCGGATGGAAAGGGCTCACAATTTGGTGAGGAAACATTAAGAAGGAGCCATTCTTCGACAGAAACATTATCACGACATGAAGATGTCCTATGAACAATTCAAAGTTGGGACCACGTATATGTGTATTTTCCCCAAAGGAAAACTGGTTGCTCACCAAAGTTGACTTCATATTGGAGATGGCCATTTCAGGTTCTTGCAAAAGTCTCTGAGGTCCTGTATAAGCTCAACTGTGGACGCAATGGAAACGGACAGGTGGTTCATTGCGACAGAATAAAAGCATGTAAATCTCAAGTGCTCAGAGGCGAGGATCCAGACCTAGGGCACGAAAGTACGGAGCTGGAGACAAGTGATTCTTCAAATGTTGAAATAGATCTTGAGAATCAGGATGATGACTTTGGGTCATCTAACAAAAATATTGAAGTCACAGATGAATTAGCTGGTGATAGGAGACCAAGACGCGAAAGGCGTACCCCTACTTGGCTTAAAGATTATGTTCAGGATTAGGACATGACCTTATGTTTTCAATCAATCATGAATTTAGCTTACATAACTGTGCATGAATTTGCTTAGATAGGACCTACAATCTTGCTTTTATTTTAGTTGTTTTTCTTTTTGCTTAAAAAAAACATTAATATCATTACCCTTAATTTATTGTCATGTGTCTTTGCAGTGTAATCATGGTTAATACTAAGGTGACTCCGAGAAAATCTAAAGAGATATGCCCGGTGTGTTTTACTGAAGTGGACGGAAAAGATGCCTGGACGACTCACGTGTTAAAGTGTGCTAGCAGCATGCTGGTATGCGAGAAATGTCATGTATCCTTTAAGAAGAAGGAATATTTGGTGAAACACATGAAGTTGAAACATGCGGAAACTAGTAGTCCATTAAAAAATAACACTGACAGTGAAAGTGACTGGGATGAAGATCCAGGGGTACAGCTGGAGAAGCTCCAAAGGAAAAGGATCCTGAACCACCGAGTAATACCGCTAGCTTGCTGACAGGACGCATGTTCAGGAAACGGAACTGCACCTAGCCCAGTCCCTACTACAAGGAAAGTGGTGTGCAGACCTGAACTTGATCTAGCTCAGAAGAGTGTGGATGTGGGAACGCAGACCTATTCCTTTACAGAAAGTAAAGTAGATCAAGAGACCAAGACAGCGGGGGTGAAAGAAGTTACCGTAACCAAGTTTCACGAAAACGGACGAAGTGTAGAGAACATTGTTGAGAGAGAAGAGTTTTATAATATGTAAAATGTGAATTCTGCTGTTTCTTGCAAAACTGATAAGACAGATAGTCTTTTTAAGATGATGATTATCATTGCTGTCATATTGTGCATATAGATCATGTTTTCTTCATTAAATCATTTATCATCAATTCATAACTGTTTTTGTCATGCGAGGGCGCATGAGGAATAGAGGCGTGGGTAATGTGACAGAGATCGGGCTCGGGATGTCTTTATGCATTACGTCAGCTGGACTTTATCGTAATGTGATACGATAGCGGCCAAGGGTAGTCCGGGTATACATGGGTATAAATATGAGCGCTCTGCAGAAAGCTGGCAGTTGCCAGTCGGAGCTCAGTGTTGACGGTCGTTGAAGGCACAATAGTGAGGTACGGCGGAGTTAATAAGGCTTGTAATTAATACAGTATACGGTGTCTAGTATACTGGATTTACATTATTCAGGTTAATAAAGAATCTGGGGGGATAAGACGAGCCATGTGCCCATGCCCATTTTTCGGCTATGCAAGAACATTTATTGGAAAAAATCTCTCAATTGTTCGAATTTACTTAAGCATTTTAATGTTTTCAAAATGATATTTATATTCTAAACAAGCTAAACAGTTGACTTTCATTTACTGTCACAAATGTCTAACATGGGTAAGGACTTCTATTAATTAATCTGCATATTGAGTGTTTACACTTATTGTGGAGATATTATAAAAATGTTAACATCGTATATAATGATAATGGTGATCTAGAAGCGCTTTTATTTAAAATAAATAAAACGGGAATAAAAGTATTCAAATATCTATTATAATTTTATCCGGCATTTTAAATAATTTACTGTAAATAAGTTCATTATTACATGTATATATTTTATTTCCAGTGAAAAATATGTTATTCCTATAGACATTTTTTATAAAGTAAAACAAAATTTAAACCAAAAAAATAAAATATAAAAAAAAAATCAGAGCATGACTCGAACACTTTCCTCAGTAAACGTCCCTTTAAAGAGCTCATCGGTAACCACTAGACCACGGAGTCACACTAACATTTCCATTTAAATTGCATACAGTTCTCTATATTTAGCAAGCGTTTTTGGACTTAGAATTTTTTAAGACCACGGTGAAAATTTAAGTAAGTTAACTTAATTTTTTATGTAGAGTGGGTCTTCATACCAAATTTTTGCAAGTGTAAAAAGCAACATCTTTCCATTGCCTTTCATTAATCGTTCTCAAAAAAATGGTACGATGACCCACTCTATTTAAAAAATGTAGTTATATCATCCAATTTATGTCAGTTTCTGTGAAAATTGAGCGTGATGCCATTTTGTTGTGTTAATCAGAATCATTTTCGCTGTTACAGTATTCAGGTTTTGTCAAATTTATATGCAAATGGTAATAAGCATTACATTAATTCAACAAAAAGTGAAATTTTTGTAAAATGAATTTATTGATTTTTTATCGATCGTTATGTAGGCATATGGCTCGGCTTATCCCCCCAGTTTCTTTGTAATTACTTTTCCTCGAATTTTATTAACATCTGTCTGTGTACAGGAAAGAGACCTCGAAGATCCATACCTGTCCTGGTACTGATACATGCAGGACACAGACCTGTCTGAGTACAGGACCTATCCCGGATTTGAGACCCGTACCTGTCCTGGTACTGATACATACAGGATACAGACCTGTGCTAGACCCATACCAATAATTGTTTACAGATAGTTGTATGCTTTATGTTAAGGATAGGAAATCCTAATATTATTTATATCTGTATATATTGGCTTGTTTATTTTTCACATCCTTTGTCACTTATCATTTCTAATCATTTGTTTAATTAATTGTCTTGATTAAGGATCTACCCAGATTCACGGACACAAACACGTTACAGTAATATGTAACCTATTGCACTGCTAAGTAAGGAAATCCATAGTTCAGAGGAACCGTTCTTTAGAGATAAGTTAACAATTGAGGTAATGATGATGATATACACCACGATCATTTGACAAAAGTAGACAATTTCAGATTTGGGGATTTTATTTCCCATTAAACACCATGATTC